AGAGGTGACCTTGACTCTACTTGAAATTCCCAAATGGAAAAAAAATATGGAGATCACTTGCAAATGTTGAGCCATTGACTCCTCTTGCAACAGGGCGCCTGGGGGTGTTCTCAGGATACGGTCACCCCGAGATTGGGAACCCTTGTTGGAAGACACAGGTCACTGCCTGATCCCCACAGAAAGGATAAAATTGCCCTTCACCCAAGACCAAAGCTGCCTCCTCACGTCTACCCTGAGCTCCTCACCTTCCAGACCATCTCCCTGGACCCTGCTGTTCACCAACCCCTCTGGTCTCCATTTGCCCACCTGTGAGAGGGAGGCGGGTCCAAATGTGGACTGACATCCCACCCTGGGCCCGTGACAGTGAGGGAACCGGAAAGGAACTTACACTTAATAAAAAAGCACCTACTACGTGCCAGGCGCTTGCTGGTTTGTTTGCACACACCTCCTAGCAAGGCCCATGAGGGTAGGAATTGCCACCACAGATTTTCAGATGGAGAAACTGAGGCCCACAGATGATGGGGCGTCTGTGCCCAAGGTCACTCCATGAGTGGTGAAGCCAGGATTGGAACCTGGGCACCTGCACCATAACACATGTCCTTAGCTTTTTGAGGGCACAAAACTGGTCGTGGCTTCAATATAACAACAATGGCTGCCGTTTATGGGGGGCGGGGGCTGCTATGTGTTGAGCTCAAAGCCAAGTGTTTTTCATGGACCACCTCCCTCAATCACAAGCACCCTGCAAGCTAAGCATCATCACCCCCATTTACATGAGAATAACTGAGCTCAGAGTTAAATCGCTTTGCCCCCAGTCACACAGCTGTCCCCCAAAGCTCATAACCATTGAGCCCCCAGCACTGGACCTGACAGTCACATTGGTTGGATGCATGGACGAATGAATGAATGGATCACCCAAGGCTGGGCTCACGCATGTGCTCAGAGTTGTTACTAGCCTGCGTCTCTCGGTAAACTGCCAAGCCCGATGTCATCCATTCTGTTGTCATTTTCTCGGGGAAAGACGAAGGGACTCACATGTCATTTGAAACCCCTCCAACTGCTGGAGGAAAACAGGGCCATGCATTTTGGGCCTGGTGTTTTGACTGGGGGAGGATGGCTGTGATCATGGGAGACAGTTGATACAGGAACTCACTGGGGTGTCATCCTCTCTGATGCTCCCCCCCCAAAAAAAAACCCAGGGGGTGTTGCAAGTTGAGCTCAAATGCTTTCATTTAGAAATGTGCGTCTGAGCTGGGAGAGGCCAGTGATGAAGTCCAGGATCCAGCTGAGGTGTGGAAGAATCCAGGGGCTTTCAAAGTGTGCTCCCTAGAACCCGAGGGCCCGTGGGGAGCCATGGCAGTCAGGCTGGGTGGCCAGCGGTCCAGGCCCCTTGGCTTTGCTGAAGCAGAGCAGCTTCACCGTGGTCTGTTGAGCCCCACATACCTGGTGAGCTGCATCGTTCTGATTGTGAGTTGACAGGAGGAGAGCTAGCTCAGGTGAAAAGCTATGGAGCTTGGAGCTTGGAGCTATGGGCTGAGCCCAGCCTTGAGGGAGCCTTGAGGGGTCTCCATCTTCCCAAATCCCAACAGAGCGGAAAAGAAAACGCATGCACATGCACACATACACACACCTGTTAACCACCACCACCACCACCCCCCCAAAAAAATCTCAAGCCCAGCTCTTGTCGAGACACATGCCTATGTCCGAACCAACCACTGTAGTCAAGGGCACCCAGTGTGGTGATTGCCCAAGTCTGGATTAAGTGCGTCTGGGTGGAGAGACTCTATGTGAACCTCAAAGTCAGAGAGTGTGGAGGGATGGGGTCTCTATTAGCAAAGAGAGGGGCCACAGATGCTAGTGCCCGCCAAAGCTTCTCACACTTGGGCACTGCCTTGCCCTCTTGCAAATGTCCTCAGGTCAAGAGGCCAGCCCAGACCATTTTCTGGTGGCCCAACGTCAAAATTCTCAAGAGAGGTGGTCTAATGGGCCCAGGTAGGGAGAACTGTCAGTCCCTAGTTCAGTCCGTCCACCACTGGCCAGGGGACAGGGTCATGCAATCCAAGCTTGGTTGCCAGGTCTGCTTCTCAGGGAAAGGCAACTGTGAGCAGGAAAGACACATCCAGAATGCCTATCACATTTATTTTGGACTTACTGTAATGCACATTCCTGGGCTCAGACCAAGCCTCCCTGGGGATTCTTACACACAGTCAAGTTTAAGAACTATCAAGTTTGGGTCTTTCTAAAGCAGCATGGTACAAATTCTAGTTGTCATCACTTATGATTCTTAGCATTATCTTATCTCTACAACCATGACCTTGGGGAGGGGAGAAATAGCATTGCTCTTTTCAACACGTTCTAGAGATGTGATGAAAAGCCACAGACCATCAGAATTTAAAGTCATTACAACATAGAGGCACTAGAGGGCATCCTAGCCAACCACCAGGACCAAGGATGCAGGAGGAGGCAGAATCACCTGGGGTTGAAAGATGCTAGTGACATCTGTCCCCTATGTGTGCACCCATGTGTGCGCGCGCGCACACACACACACACACACACACACACACACCCTCCGAGGTCAGGGGAGGGTACTTATCAGGTTCTTTTGTCTTCGGCATGTCAAGATATCACTCTACAAATAGTGCTGTATCTCTAATTGGGGCTTATTTGCTGCTGGGCTGCCTGACCTTGGGGAAGGCTCCACCCCTTCTGGCCTCAGGATCCCCAGTGAAACTGCAGGGGTCAGGCAAATGATCCCGAAGCTCTTCCCAGAGACCGGAAGAAGTTTTACTTTGCCCGTCTGCCACTTCTGTGGGCTTCAGCCCTCCCACCAGGCTGTGAGGTCCCATAACGGCAGGGGGCATGTGTGGCTCGTCCCCGTGGCCCCGGGCTCTGCCTGACAGAGTGGATCCCTGAACAAAATGCTCCAAGAGGGCAGCGGGGGCTGACTGCCGTGGGTCCCTGCCTCCAATGATTCTGCAGGACCCTGAGAGTGACTTTCGCCTCTTTGAGCCTGTTTCCTCCCCTGCATTGTGGACAAGGACCCCCAAGTTGGGGTGTGAGTATGTCCACACGCTCAGTGTGCAGGAAATACGATTTTGTTTTTCTGTAACTGAACATAACTTCTAATTTGAACTCCTGTTCTGCCAAGCGGCAGAGATCGCCTCAAGCCGATTGAGGTTCCCTTTGCCCTTTGTTGGTGGGGCTGCATCTCAGGTCCAGCGGCATTTCATAGCATCAAAGCACTGGGGAGAGGTACCCTGGTCTCCACTGACGTCACTCTGTGACCACCTGCATGGTTGATGAAAAGCCCACATCATCAGTCGTTATCATGCGGTCCTCATGGCTTAACCAAGAGGATTGACACTTTCCTCCCTCTCCCAAACGAGAATGTGAGGTAGACTGCCCTGGGCTAGTATGGCCTCGCCCTGGTCTCTCTGCCAGGTCCCTCTGCCGTCTGCACCTGCCCTGGCTCCTGCCTCCAAGTCTGCAGTCCCCGCAGGCCCACAAAGAAGGGGAGGAAAATAGAGCAGCTCTTCTTTGCAGGTCATTTGGCGGGTGGCACAGGACACTCCCACTGGAAGCCCATTGGTCAGAACTTAGATGTATCATCCCATACCACTGCAAAGGAGCCTGGGAAATGTAGTCTTTGTTCTTGGAAGACATTAATTCGCTAAACAGGAGGGTTCCCTTACTGAGGAGGAGGGAGAATGAACATGGGGGGAGGGAGGACAACTCTCATAGCTCTCATGGCTGCAGGTCTCCATGGCTCTCAGAACTTCTGTCACCGTCCCCTGCCCAAGGCCTCAGCTTGAGGATGGGCCAGGGCTGGGGGAAGGAAGCTGGGAGGGGTAGGATTAGATGTCCTCTCCCCGCTTTTCCCTCCCCCAACCCACACACACAACAGAGGCTAAACATTTTTTGAAGTATATTTTTATTGTAAAGTAGCTCAACCCTACAGGCAAGAATAAAAAACCTAATGGACATCTGTACACCTGCCAGCCACTTGTAGCAAATATTGCCATTTTCGTATTTGTTGCAGATTTTCAGAAATTAAATACTACAGATTCAAGAGAAGTCTCCAGCCTTCTTCCTGAATCCCCTTTCCCACTTCTCACCTCACCTCGGAGGAGGAGCCCATTCTGAATTCAGTGTTTCATCGGTCCCCTGTGTCTTTTACTCTTAATACAAATTTAAGTATCGTAAATGACCCAGAGTATTGCTTTGCAGAGTTTGGAACTTGCTACGAATGGTCTCTTCCTGCGCGATTCATTATGTTCATTATGCCGTTTGCTTTCTTTGCTCTTAGCATCGTCTTTGAAATGTATCCATAATGACAGCTACAACTCAGCCTCAGGCATTTATCATGGGTCCTGGATATGGAATGTGGCGAGCGTATATGGCTGCGTGCTACCTGTGTTTCCCTCTTCTTTTGATACACGGGTTTTTGCAACTGTTTGCTATTCAGTGATGCTGCAGTGAACATCTCTGCTCATGTCTCTCTGGGCACAGACACCAGAGTCTCTCTGTGTCAGTGGTTCTGAGAGCATAGTCAGGGACCAGCAGCAACAGAGTAGCATCACCTGGAACCAGTTAGAAATACAAATTCTCAGCATCCCCTCGCCACCCCCCCCCCCCACCCAGATCTACTGAATCAGACACTCAGGGTGGAACCCAGCGCTGTGTGTTGTAACAAGCCCCCTCCAAGAGGCTGGTACAAGAATTTGAGAAGCTCTGCTCTAGGGTTTAGACCACAAGTCAAGCAGCTGTGTTCGGCAAAGGCACATCCTCAAATGTTCTAGATGCTGCTGGATTTTTCTCCAGCGTTTACACTCCTATCAGAACGGAAAGTTTCCTTTCATCCTTGCCAGCCCTTTGTATTATCAGAATTTAACTTGTCTCCCGTTGGGCGGGAGGTGTGGGCTCTGTTCGTTTTTTCAGCTGAAGTTCTCTCTCTGGCCCCGGGGGTTCCCTCTTACGACATCACACCTTCTCTCCGCCCCCAGGTTCCTGCGGGTCTACAGCTTTGGAAACACGCAAACCTCGACTCCGCTCTTCCCAGGAACATTAGTGAGGGTTCTCAGTTGTAAGCAACAGCAAGGGGACTTAGCAGCAGGATGTGGGGGGCTCCCAGAATCCAGGCAGCTGGAGATCAGGCTGGGAGAAATGCAGGATCCACCCCACAGCGGGGAGGAGGGGAGGCAGAAAGGCCCCAGGCTGGTCTGGGCAGTCAGCTCGCTTCTACCTGGACCCTTATCCCCACATATCCTCCGTACTCTCTTTGTTCGACTCCCAGGACTCGGGGTCATGGGCATGAGTATCTGATTGGTCAATGCCCAGTCACTGCCAACTTGAAGAAGGGCTTGGCCTCCTTGGTTTTTGTTCCAGGGGGACACCGGGATTGGCCCTTCTCCAGGTTCTCTCACACAATGGGGAATTCCTCTAAAAGGCAGGTCGGGCCCCAACAGAAAGGGGGGGCAGAGCTGGAAAGTCAAGAACATCCTGTGCTGAGTGGCCATGGGCTCAGTGAGCTGAGGTGTGTTAACTGGTGTATTAAGCAGTCTGACCTTAAACGGGGTATAAATGTGGAACAGTGTAATGTGTCCCCAGGGCACCTGGGTGGCTCAGGCAGATAAGCATCCAATTTCGGCTCAGGTCACGATCTCGCAGTTTGTGAGTTCGAGCCCCACGTCGGGCTCTGTGCTGACAGCTTGGAGCCTGGAGCCTGCTTCGGATTCTGTGTCTCCCTCTCTCGCTGCCCCTCCCCCAGCTCACGCTCTGTCTCTCTCTCCAAAATGAATAAACGTTAAAAAATATATATATTTTTAATGTGTCCCCAATCACCTCGAAGAAGCTGCTTGATCCTTCGCGACACCTGGTCACTTTCTGACTCTCCTCGGCTCCTGCCTTCCATGGTTTCCCTTGCTGCCTCTTACCGGGACACTTGCCATCAACCAGCCTGCCTGGGTAAGGCAACGGCAAGACCA